TAAATAAAGTTTTCAACAGAATGACTAATAGAACATGAACAATGCTTATGACACTATAGTCCATTGTGTAAGTATTGACGGCAAAATTTGCATTCCTGGTAAAGCTCGTTCCCACTCCCAGTATAAAAGGCATTTTTAATATTCTAGGGAAAACGTGCTGTGTAAGTGCTTGAGGCGTTACTTACAGAACACACTTTTAAAAAGGCGTCTTCTTTCCCTGGGCCACTGAAGGAAGATGGAATCGGCTGTAGGATGAGGTGGTTTCAATAAGGCAGGTGGCTGAGATCTTGTTGTAATAACTGTGGTCAGCGGTGACGGGAAATAGAAAAAGCACAGCCTCCCCAGTCTTTTGGAGGTTATTCTTTATTTGGATGTATGAAAAGATATGTGACTTGTTTCCAGATATTCATGTTGTTTTGAACTGAGTATGTGCTTGGATGTTTATCTGCATCTCTAATCTGAAACACTTGTACAAGTAATTTTTTATTGCACTTTGAAATATTTGATTGGAATTAAGGGTAATATAAATATATCCATGGTATGTATTAGTGTTTGGATTTTATTGTGTTTATTATTGCAAAGTATCTCCAAATGATGGTGTGATTAAAAATGATACAATAATGATTCTATGAACAGTGTAGCAAACCGGTAGAACCAGAGAGGGTCAGGACTTGCTAGTGACTTTATTGAAAATACTGGTGCTAGACTTACTTGAGGTCAGAGCTGGGCTTAGATACCTGCTTGAGTGTTGGACAGTTGAACAGATGTGTTTATGTGTATAATATATGCAGTATTTTTTAAGTTCTCCCATAATACTTGTTTTATTATGTAATTTATCAGTTGGTTAAAAGTTTTGGGTTTAAAAGTTTGTGTATTACATTTAGTGAATTTGTGTGTGTGTGTGTGTGTGTGTGTGTGTGTGTGTGTGTATAACTGGGGATTGAACAACTCAGGCCCTTCCACTTGCCAGGCCAGTGCTTATTCAACTGAGCTATCTCCCTGACCCCACTATACTTTTTAAAGGATAAATTTATCAAGGTGATTTACTTACCATGAAGTTCACTTTTTAAAAGTAAGTTAGTGGTTTTTTAGCATATTTCCAAAGTTGTACACTGGTCGCAGTTTAATTCCAGAACATTTTCATTACCCACAAAAGAAACCATACCTATCAACAGGTATCTGCCATGTATTCTGTTACAACACTGAAAAAGACATCTAAATACTAACTGTGGTAGTTACTTAGTATTGGAATTATAGGTACTTGTAATTTTTTTATTCTTTTTTTTGTACCGGGAATTGAACTCACGACCTCATGCTTGCCAGGCAGGTGCTGTGCCACTGAGCTAAATCTCCAGCCCAATTTTCTTATTTATATACTTCTACATTTTTATAATTTTATGCAATAACTTTGTATTACTGATATAACTGAAGGGTTTTAAAGCAAGCACAAGAAAAGATTACAAGGTATTTAAGGAGCTATAAGAATGCCAAAATATACCATGGGCATGGTGGTACATGGGTGTAATCCCTGCTATTCAGGCCAGCCTGGGCTGTCTATTGAGACCCTGCCTCAAAAAAGGAAGAAGGGAGCTGGGAGTGTTGATCAAAAAGTTATGGGTTTAATCCTTAGCACATAGTCTGACTTAGAGAGTGTTACCAGTATTAGTATTATGTCAGTGTGAGTATCTCACTTGACAATTGAGTTGTGCCTAATGCATAAGAATATTCTTGTTTAAAAATAGGCTGAAATATTTAGTCATAAAAAAGCATGACACCTGAAATAAAATGGAAAGAAAATGGAATGCCAGAACATGATATCCGACCACCCCCAGGCCTTGCGAGTGTGGGGAGAGCTTCTGCTCTGTCCTGCGCCCGCCCTCCGCTCCAAGCCCAGGCCCGCCGCCTGAGAGAGGCCTTTCCCGCGTTCTCCGGGCTTCCCCCGCCTCGCCAGACCCAGCACAGCCCCATTTAGTGAATTCTTAAAAGGAAAGCTTTCTTTTCTAGTTTCATCCTTTTTTCCCTTCTGGGAAGAGTGTTCTTGTATTTCCACGATGCTATTTGTTGAACATTTTCTCTTGTTTCATTATTTAGTAGCAAGACCTTTATATGAATCCTGCTTTTGATCCTTAACACATTTTTAGAAGGTATTATTTACCAACTTGCTTAAATTTTATTTGCTAAGTAGTGAAAATAAGTCTGTGTGACTCTGAATCTCTTGCTCTCAGCTGTTAAGCAACTCTGTGACTGTATTCTTGGACTTGTTTTGTGTTCTCATGGTTTCCTTTATATATCTGCATCCTCCTACTTTACCATTAAGACATACTTAGATGTTTGCCATCTTCACTTAGCTGTCAAACTCTTTTAAGACATTGAATTTGTTTTCAGGTCTATCCCCAGTATGTAGCATGTTGGTGGTGCCAGTAAATGATTGCAGGAAAGGATGGTAAGAAAAAGAAAGGAGACGTAGAGAGTTCTGGCTCCTCACACGGAAGCAGGAGTGCAGAGAGCAGGAGGGACGGTGGCCGCGAACTTGAGGTGAATTTAATGGTTCTTTGTCTTACTCTTTCCAAGGACACAGAGGTGTGAGAATAATTGGAGGCGTGTGTGAACCCCTGCGGTCTGGAGACATAAGTGTCAGCCTGGATGTTTCTTTTTTTTTTATTTTTTTTCTTTTGGTACTGGGAATCAGATTCAGGACCTTGCACTTGCCAGGCAGGCGCTGTGCCACTGAGCCATATCCCTGGCCCTTAATTGCTTTTCTTAAAAGTTAGTAATCAGAATGTATAATTCTGCAGTTGTATAATGTAATATAGTTTCAGTTTTATAATATAATTGTAGTTTTATTCTAAGGGTAATCTAAGTACTGTGGGGAGAGGAAATCAACGTATGAATAAATGTAAAAAGTAGTTGATATGCTTAACAGTGTTCTAAAGTATTCCTGGTTATAGTCTGATCAGTTTTGTTGTTCTTCAGAAAATATGCTCTCTATAACTACTTTATTAATTTCTATGCTGTTTATGAGTATTTAAAAATATTTTTTGGTGTATCCTATTTATCTGAGTAAAGGTGTTAATGCCCTGAGGGTAGAAATTATATTTTGCCTACTTAGAGGTATTATGATTGTTTTTTTTTACAAAGTACACTTAATTCTCCATTATTTAGAATCTTAGTATTTGCAGGTTACCCAGGGCCAGGGAGTTTGTTTATGGCTTGGAGATACGAGGGTTTACTGGAATAGATGTGAATCATAACTGTAATTTAATTTCTTACCCACCTTTGATTTGGACGGAAACCCCACAGTAATTGATAATGAAGAACACATTTTTATAAAGCTGCAGCTGTGCTAGGGCCTTTGCACAAGGAAAGTTTATGCAGTATCATTAAGAAACTATGTTAGAAGGCCAAGTGTAATGGCACTTGTGTGTAATCCCTGCTACTCAGAAGGCTGAAGCAGGACTATCTTAGGCTCAAGGCTCGCTTCGGCAGTTTAGCTAGAGCTTGTCTCAAAATAAAAGTAAAAAGAACTCAGGGTATAGGTGAGCATGCCCTGAGATTAAATCTCAGTACGAGAGAGAGAGAGAGAGAGAGAGAGAGAGAGAGAGCGAGCGCAAGTTAAAGAACAAGTCACATTTTCAAATAGGATAGTATTTTGTTTGCGTATGTATGTGGGAGGAGAGGAGAGCTGAGAACATTTTCACTATCAAGAATATTAAAATGGTAAAATCTAGTTGAGCAAAAGTTTCCAATATTTAGCACTATAACTCTTCATCTCTGATCTCAGAATTTTGTGAGTTTACAGAATCCCAGAGTAGATATTCAAGACTGTTTTGCAGGGCTGGCAGGATAGCTCAGCAGAATACGCACCTGCTTAGGCAAGCACAGGGGCTAGGGTTCAATTCCTGGCACCACAGGCTGCACTGGTCCCGCTCCCACTCCCGCGTGCACTGAGCCAGCCATTGAGACTGGGCATGGTTGCACACGCCTGTAATCCCAGCACTGGAGAGGCTGAAAAATGGAGGATCAGTACAAGTCTGAGCTGCATAGTGAGTCCCTGTATCAAGTACATTAAAAAAGAGACTTTGCATAATGCATCCACTGCTCTAGTTGCAGTTTTTGAATGTCTTCATTGACATGACCTTCATTTCCTCAGCACTTCGTATTAGAGTGTACTCTTGCAGCTAGGAGGCCTTGCAGGAAATTTGTGTACTCTTGTCGGTTATATGGGATAGAGTATCAGAGAATAATTGCGTAATTTGGAAATGTAGCTGTCCTTTTCAGTTAAGCATACATTAAGAAAAATTATTTGGAGGGAAAAGGAAGCAATATTTACTGATTCATGCAGATATTAGTAAAGATTGACTAAAATAGTAGTGTCATAGCTTTAAAAGTCTTGTTTGAAGTCTTTCTGTGAAGTAGTTAAGAAATTAAAAGCCATTAAGAAGTATACTTGGATCATATTTGCTCAAATTTTGTCGAGTTAGGCTTTTGTAAAAAATGATATCAGGTTCTTTTTTGACATTTTGTAACATTTCTTTGTCTATTACTTTTTGCAATCATAGTTAATACTTTGAAATGTTTGTAAGTCAGTTACCCTTTTATTTCAGTGTTAATAGATCTGGCTCATTGTTTTATTGCTGTTATTTTTAATGTATATCTTGTAAATCCTAATCTCTTAAGAATTCTAATTTTTACTTAGAAAGTTTTCTTAGTAAACAACATATATTGTTTGTGCATTTAAAAACCAAGCTAGCAGACACAAACCTGTTTGAAAACCTTTTAACAGACAGTTAGAGATAGCAGTGAATTAAAGGTGAATATCCTGACAGGAGCATACAGTGTATTTAGGAGAAATGTCATTAATGCAAAAAGCCTTCCTGAGAAGACATTTGTTTTCTTAGTCCCATACATGTGTTTTTGCTTTTAAGTTTTAAGCATTTTAACGTAAGTGCATTTTCTACTTTTTAGCACCACTGTTGGCTGCAAGATATTTCATGCTCTTCTTTCAGAAGTGATAGTACAGCTTAGTTGGCATTTTCTCTTTGATTTCAGCTGGTCTCCATAACTCCCCAGTGAAAGACGTAGAGCAGGTATTTTATATCCACTTTGACAATATGAAATTAAGGTTCTGAAAGGTTCAATGACTTTCCTTGATTTATAACATCTAATTTTTCTTTTAGTTTTTATAGCTTAAACTTACAGTCCTGCTTGGAGTAGGAGAGTAGTTTATTTGTTGTCATTTGCCAGTGTCCTCTGCTGCATATTGTGAAAATGCTTCTTTAGTATGGTTCTATATATGATCCATCATTAAATACTTTCTGTAGGCTTCCTTTCTTTCATTGACATAAAACACAATAGTACATAGCACGTGGGATTTAGTTTAATAAATTCCTTTCTCTGGCAGGGACATTCCGATTAAGGATAACTTTTCTTCATCAAAGGTTAAAATGTTAAATGTTTCATTATTTTTAAGCTTCCAGTCTTATGTTTAATTCCAGTCTGCTAAAAATGAATTCAGATCACTAAGAAGGGTTGTTCTAGCTTTTATTAGGTAAAATGTAATAGTTTCTGTAGTTTTGATGAATTCTTCAAATGTACTTTATTTTGTCTTCATAAATATGTGAATAGTTCCTTACATGTTAAGCACTGGGTATTAACTAATTCAGTAAATTTTAGTATAATTCAACTTCTGAGCTTCTACTATGTGCCAGGCATTTGTCTAAAGCACATTAATGTTTCTCAACCTTTAAAAACATTATTTCTCCTTGAGCATTTTTTCCTAAGCTTTTCTCTCTACCTATGGAAATGAAAGTTTTGTATACCATGTACACGAGTGTCTATGCCTTATATTTGAAAGAATAATACAGCTTTTGACTCTACCCTCAAAGAACCTCCCCTTTGGAGGCATTATTCCTTTCGTTGGGAATGCGTGTTCTAGACAATGAGGAAACAGTAATTAACAAAACAGATAAAACTTGAAATCTTTGAAGATCTTAGGTTTTAAGAGGGCAGAGTTGGGAGGGAATGTGAGGGAATGTGGGAGTCAAAAATAAGGAAGTGAAACAGAATGTTAGATGATAGTGAGTATGCGGGGGTAACAATGAAGCCAAGAAAGGAAGAGAGTTGGGTTTACAGTAGTTGGTTTTTATTCTTTAACTTTTTTTGTGATAATGGGATTGAGCCTGTGGCCTCACTGATAGTAGGGAAGCACTCTCTCACCGAGCCAAATTCTCAGTCTCTTTTTCATTTCTTTATTCTAAGATGCTGATGGCTACATTGCCCAGGCTGGCTCTGAACTTGGGATTTTCCTGCTTCACCTTCCAGGTAGCTAGGGTTGTAGTCATGAGACCTGGTAGCACGGATACAAGTACTCAGTACTCTTGACTTGAGCAGGCTTTCTTACGTCTTTGAACAAATTTTGATTGAAAGGAGGCAGAACGTAAATTTCAAGAGATTCAGACATAAGTGCATACTGAGAAAATAAGAGACTGAAGATAGTTTGCCGAAATGCAGAAGGAAGCTGAGCTCAAGAAATGAAATACGATTTGTAGGTTTGGGGAGAGCCTTGTGAAGAAAAATCACATGTGCTGCTTGAAAGAAAAAAGAATGTGCTCTCAGAAATTCAAATACTTTGATTACTTCATGTACTGTATTTCCATTTTTCACTTTGGCAGACAAGTGCTTCAGATGAGTCAGGCTACTGAAGCTAATAGCCATCTCCAGAGTGCTGAGTTACGAGGTTATAGTGTGTGTGAATCACAAAGAATGCCTGGAAGCAGCCTCTTGGGTGCTGTCAAGGCCACTGTCCTGGAGTCCGTAGAGCTAATGTCTGTTCTAGATCTGTCTGATTAAATTACTCAGAGAGGAGAAGTACTGAGCCAACCCTGTGTGTATTGTTCCTTTGAATAATTGCAGATATAACTTGAAATGACTGGAGGATTTTTTTTTCTTTTTGTGGAGCTGGGGATTGAACTCAGGCCCTTGCACTTGCCAGGCAAGCACTTATTCAACTGAGCTATCTCCCTGGCCCCCTATAACTTGAAATGAGGTACATTTTAAAATTGTATGTGTGTTTGAAATGGAATCACTACTCAGCTAAACTAGACAGTTTTCAAATATATTTTAAAAGATAAAAACAGTTGTAGGTAAATTCACTTAATATGAAGGATTAAAGTATTTAATGAAATTGTGGCTTTAATAAGATATCTTTTCTATTACTCTATAAAGAATGGTTTTCTTTTAATTTATATGGTGGTGGCCCAGAGCTCTTGAGGTAAATGTAGCCATTACATTTAGTTTTCCTTTAAATCTATTACACACAAGTATTTTCTTAAAGATTTTAAGAAGTGCAGTATTGGAATAATTCCATGTGGTTTATGTGTCTTAACTTGAGATTCAAGACTAAGACTAAAATATTTTTAAAAAGGATTTCAAATATGAATATTTCAGTGCATGCATGCACGTGCGTGTGTAAGTTTCTCAGTCAGTTTAATTTTTCAGTACCCATCTAGATGCTGTGTGAATAATACAGAAGGTAAACTACTCCTTTCAGAAACTTGTACTACATCAGAACTACAAGGCTTCATTCAGGCCAGGAATGTTAGCCTTAGCATTCCTGAAATTGCAAGCCACACACACATCTTAAGCATTATAAAGTCCCTGACATTTAAAAGTCTGACATTGAAAGCAATCAAGGGATAACTTTCATGAGATTCTCACCATGGTTGATGACCATCAACAGTGTAAGGACCACTCACATAATCTAAATGTTGAAAATGTTCTGAGGTGTCAGGGTGCAGTGGGTTGGCCAAAAAAGCTGGTGCTAGATATACTGAGATCCTGGTTTCTTGCATTCTGGTTATTCCACACTGCAGTGAAAATAACAGGTTTTCAAAAACCAGTCCCCACCAGTTGCTTAATGATTATTATTTCCTTTAGACATAGCAACCTTAAAGAAGTGTTCATCTCAAATTGTAGTGAAACTTTTAATGGGAATGTTATATATAAATAACACACAGAAAGCCTCCAGAAAGTTAACAAGCCTTATTTTCTCATACTTTTATGTCACTTGTTTTCCTACTCTCCATATATTGACTTCCTTTTTTATGTTGTCTTGTAAGTTCTAATCATGGCCTCTTATGAATTTGATTAGAATAATCTGATCTTTTTTCCTTCCTTCCTTCCTTCCTTCCTTCCTTCCTTCCTTCCTTCCTTCCTTCCTTCCTTCCTTCCACAGGAATGCTGAATGCTCTATACCAGGTTACTTTCTGGCTGTTAGGAATAGAATTGTGAGCAAAACCTACCTCCTGGGCTGGCCAGATAGCTCAGTGGATTAAGCGCCTGCTTAGGCAGAGTGCAGCTGTTGGTATTTGATCTCGGGAGTGCAGTGCCGGCCCCACCCCCGAGGCCCGCTGAGATGGTGAGAGACTGAGCATGGGGGTGCCAGCCTGTAATCCAGCGCTTGGAGGCTGAAAACAGGAGGAGGAGGATCACCAGTAGTCCAATCTGTGTACTGAGACCCTGTAGACCTTGTACTAAGTACATAAAAAAGTCACCCAAAACCAATATCCTTCTCTTGATAGTCCCCTTTCTAGAAGTTTGAAATCTTAGGAATGTAGATATTAGGCAAATAAGATATATAAAAACAGCCTGGGAAATGGAAAGAAAGGAAAGCACAGTGTCCTGAGAGCGGCTAATGGCAGCTCCACCTCCAGGTGGGTTTCCTGGATGGGTGTTTTGGCTGAGAAAGTTGAGGAAGTATTGAGAGAGCCATGCTCACTGCAGAGGGCCAGGCTTTTCTAAGGCTTTCAAGACTGCTGTATTTAGACTGGGGAAAACAGGCGGGACATGCAGAAAGGAAGCTTGGAGCAGGTGTCGGAGGTTCTCCAGGTCATGCGTCACCCTGAGGCCAGGGTGAAGAACGGTTCTTTATCCTGAGAACAATGCCAGAACCTTGGGGGATTAAGCAGGGTGACAGAGACTGTTTTCTGTTCTTTGCTATTAAGAACACTGATGCTATGAATATTTTTATACACATTTATGTACATTCTGCCTCCCCACCTTCCATGGCCATGTCTGTTTCTCTTGAGCATATATTTGGAAAAGGAATTGCTGAGTTGTATCGTGGGTCAGTGATTGAGATGCTACAAGCTGCCTGTTTTCTAGAATGATTGTACTATTTTTATATTCCCATCCATATGTATGAGTGTTCTATTTTCTTCACATCTTTGCCACCACTTGGTATTTTGTTTTGACTAAATATGAACACCCTAGAGGGAATAAAGTGCTATCCTTGTTTTTTTTTTTTTTTTTTTTTGGGGTTGCAATTATTCCCTTGAGCTTTATTTAAAATACACTACTTGATTAAGATTTTCATGAAGATGACTTCCAATAATCAAAAAATAAATGCATTTCAAAGTTAAAATTTTGTGTTATGTTTATGTATCGCCATTGAACTTATGTAAAGCGTTACCTGACTTTAAAAATCAAAGTAACTTGATCTTTTTTATTTCAGGTGCTTTTTCAGTGGCTAGCATCCTTCTGTAGTAGTGGTGGTTGTATATGTAGGGCTCTGCCCAAGCTCTCTGGCAACCTGCTAGATTCCTGCACGTTATAATGGTATCACTATCATTCTTCTAAAGAAAGTAATTTTGTCTTACTTAGTTCTGCTATATAAAGAAATTGTTTGGTGTTTTTTTTGGGGGGTGGATGCTTTTTGAGACAAGGTCTTGCTATGGAGACCAGACTGGCCTCAAAATAGCAATCCTGCCTCAACTTGGCCTCCCAAGTGCTGGGATCACCGGTGTGCACCGCCACCTTGTCTGGCTAATGCTGCCCCGTGTAACAGACACACCCATGAGCCAGCTTTTGCTCCCTCATGCGAAACGGGTCTCCAGCCTGGAGGGTAAAGGGCTGGGCCTGACGTCCAGTCCGGCCCCTACTTGTCCTCCTTGCCCTTTCTTTTCCGAGATTCTCACTTTTAACTGTATTAGTATCTTCCAGTGATTGTAAAATCAGCCTTCAGAGTAGCAACACATATGAGTGTTCCAACATGTCCTTATTTATCTCAGTCCTTTGAAGGGGACACACATGCATGTTCCAAGGGAATCCCTGAGTGTTCACCAACAACTGCTTGGCGTGAGTGTGACAGGGCCAGGGTCCTGGCCGCACTGTGGCCTCCCTGACAGATCCTTTCTGCAGGATGCTGGAACCAGCCAAGAGTCTGACAGCCGCACCCGAGTGGGGAGCCATGCATAGGAATCAGGGCAGAGATAGAGCAGGTAGGTATGGGGCTGGAGGGAAACACTTTTCATTTTCCAAACGCTGGCCAAAAACAAGCTTGTGCTGTCCTCAGGGGTCAGGGACAGGTCCATGGAGCTGCTACTCAGCTGCGGTACCGAAATCCGACTGTTTACAGAAACACACACAGAACAGTGTGGGTCTTTTGTGTGTGAGGAATACCTACACACTAATAAAAAAGTTTGAAATGGCGATTGATTTCAGAGCAGCAGGGTTCTGTGGCTGCTTCACTTCCCCAGATGAAGGACTGACACATCCCTCCACCTTGTTAAGGAAGCAAGATGCCATGTAGATAAGGTGTTTTACGTGTGTTAGAAAAATTTAATGATCAGTGTTGAAAAGAATTCAATGAAGTGGCTACATTTAATTACTGAAGACAGTATATAAACAGATGTGACTTTTATACAAAAAATGTAGAGGTAAGTGTTAGGCCATGGAAAGTGTTTATCCCCGCTGACCCAGCACACCCCAAGTGGGAATTTATACAAAGACAAGGCCCCATACATGAATGTGTCCTAGGAACAGCAACAAGAGACAAAGAACCCAAAAGTCCCAGAAGAGGGACATGGACCAGAATTACGGCACAGCTACATGAAATGTCTTTAAAATTGCCAGGAACCATTCCAACAAGAAAAGGCAAGTTACAACAGAGATTTGAGAAGAATACATTTGAGAAACCAAGTGGCCGTGTAATCACACTGGTAAAACTAAAGGTGACTGTCCCACTGTATGCCTAGTGTCAGAGTATATAAAAATTTATCACAAGATGCAAAGATCTTTAGCTTCAAATGATCTGACACAAACCCCTCAGCACAGAAGGGCTGCTACCATCCCTGGATCCTCTAGGCCTCCCGGGTGCTCGGCCTGTTCCACCAGCTCCTGGCCCCTGTCCAGCGAAGAGCAGCGACCCTGGCCCTAGCGGAGCTGTCCCTTCCTTCACATAATGTGCTCATCTACAAAGTGGCAAAATACGTAGTGCTACATCCTAGTGTGAGGCAAGAATTGAATCTAAAAGGCCTAGATAATTAAAATGCTAGTTTTAATTGAATGGGAAAAGCTTGCCACTGCAGTGGTTCCCTTATCTGACACAACCTGTTGCGTGGCAACACCTAACAGTGAGTACGGCTGGGACCCCATCGTCTAGGGCCTGCAGCCCTGAAGGCTAATTCAGCCTGCTCTCGGCATTTGCTTGCAGGGCTTTGGCACCCACTCCCTTTGAGTGCTCCAGCAGCTTGATGGCCTTGTCCGAGTTCTCGATGTTCCTAAGCAGAGTCTCTAGTCTTCTCTTGATTTTCTTCTGATCCTCAAGAGCACAGCCAATCACTATCGACTGAAACTTCTGGTCCACTGGCCCTGGTGGTACCTCGGACGAGCATGCGCTGTACAGTGACATTAAGTGACTCTTGGCATTGGCCAGGTCATCCAGGAACTTACTAACCACTTCGTCTATGATCCGCGTGGCGTGTTTTAGGGACTCTTCCTGCTGCGGGCTTCTGATGGTTTCTACCGAAACTTCAACGGTGAGAGTTCGTCCCATCAAACGGTTTGCAGTCAGGTTTAACTCTTCGCGTTCCCCGTCGCTGATCTGCCGCATGTCCTGGCTGTTCTGGATGCTGTGGATCATCTCCAAGAGCACCTCCTTCTCCTGCTCAACGGCACTCGCTGCTTCTCGCAATGCTTCAACCCGCAGCTCCAGCTGGTCCAAGCTCTCCAGCAGGCGGCCCGAGCGGTCAGCCATGGACGACGAGCGGCAGAAGCGGCCCTCGCTGGCCCGGGCCTGGATCCTGGCCTGCGCCATGGCGGCGGCGGCGCTCGCGCGGCGGGGTTGGCGCGGTGGCGGCCAAAGTGCTATCCTTGTATTGGCAAGGATACCACTTTATTTTAAGCCCTGATATTCGGGATTCACTAGGTTGTATTTTTAAAAATCTGTGTATATATTTATTTTATTTTATTTTAGGGAATGGTCTACTGGGTGTTCAGGATCTCACTATTAGATCGGACTCATAGTGATTCTCCTGTTCACAGCCTCCCAAGTGCTGAAATTATAGACACGCCACCACACCCAGTCTCAGTTGCCACCTCAGCGGACCCCCGGGGCAAAGCAAGCATGAGGGCCCTGGGCTCAAGTCCCCAGCCCCTGCGCCTGCTACCAGAGGCTTTAATCTGCTGAGTAAATCTGCTTAGTTTGAATAAACTGCTTATTAATAAATATGCCCTCTCCTTTCTCAAGTTCTTTATTTTTATTTCTCTACCTTTGGCATCCATGTGTGGTTGGTAGAGCTTCTGTCTAACCCTTAGAATCTTTAAAGATTCAGCTCAATTTCTTCTCTTTCCTTTGTTCCTGTGTTGATACTTGATTATTTGGCCTGTGAAAACAATAATGTCAAATGGCTCAACTTAACACATTTGTTTCCTTAGCCATAATTGGTACCATTTCTTGAGTTTTTTCTTCCTATCCTGTATTTGTACTTCTCATAGTATTATTGATGTGCTTATGTATATCATAAGTATATGTGTAATGGTTTTATTGAAAAGAAATTTTAGAGGTAGAGGCTGTTCTATACCCCAGATTGAACTTGGTAACCATTATAAACTTTAAAGAATATATGTACTACATGATGAATCAATATGAACCATAGTGAATCAATATGAATTATAGAGATTCTTCTATAATTTATATTTGAGTACAAGATTGAGGGCAATATAGGACTTCTTGGCAGTGGAAAGTTTAATAAATAATAGAATTATAGATAAAATGTCTAAAGTTGGTCTTTAAAGCTTTCATTTTTCAAACATACTGTGTTTTTATATTTTGTAGTGCCTCTACTTCGCATTCAGAGAATTCAGTGCATACAAAATCAGCTTCTGTTGTATCATCAGATTCCATTTCTACTTCTGCAGACAACTTTTCTCCTGATTTGAGGGTATGTATGCCATTTGTAAGTTCTAGGGAAGAAATTTCTGTTAGATATCTATGCTAACACTGTCATTATAATCTTTTAATGAAACAAGAGGTATGTGTTGTATATTCTCAGAGATCTCAGCCTTTATAAAATATACCAGGCCAAGATAGCAAATTTGAAATGTTTACTTATTTATGAAAGAAGAGTATGTAATTCATTCCTAAGTGGATACTTTAAATTAGTTCTTTGCCAAAAGGTAATAAGATTATTTGTGGTATAAAAGATTTTATGATTACTCTTAGTAATAGTTGCCAGTAATATAGCTGACATTTTTTGAATATTGAGGTGGACCAATCACTGTTCTAAATGCTATACAAGAATGATCTTTTATAACACTTCCAACAGTCGTGCGACTTTTATACCTGTGATAGTAGCTCATAGATTGAAGTAAGGTCTCATAGCTAATAAATTGTATTGCGGGCGTTTCTGCTCATGCAGTCTAATTCTGGAGCTAAGTCTCTTATAGTATGTGTTAGTTCCTGCACATGTTTTATCTAGTATTTTTGTGTTTATTAAAGGTCTTGTTTGTATAAAACTAACCACACAGTATTATACTGTAGTACATTTATGGATTCATCAGCTTTTCTGTAGCTGTTCACCATAAATGATGGAAGTATGAAATTCATGTGTGGTGCTAACCTTCTACCCTACTTCAGAATCTTAATTTTTTAAAAACAATAAACACTGTTGTGATTCTGGACAGCTGGGAGCCCAAGACCAGGTGCTGTGGCCCAGTGCCTGGTGTGGGCATGCTTTCTAGCTTGGCTCCTTTTATCTACACAGCAGAGAGCATGTCACAGGAACTTGGTTTCCACCAGATATTTGCATTTTCAGTGGCTACACGTAACATAATTTTGATTAAAACTTTTTGCCATACTGAAATAATTTGTTGTGAAGGAAAATTTTTTCATTTTCAAAACAAGTCAGCAAATATGAAAAGATGTATAATAAACATCTGTACAGTTTTTCTTCATACTATTCTGTGAAATATTATAAAAGATTATATTATAGCAGGCTTCTCTATGGTACTAGAAATCATAAAGGTTTATCTTCATAATCTTGATAACTTTATGCTAATTTTGATGGCTGTGTGACATTGTTAGCTAATAGTGTAGTGCTCATTCTTAACAATAGAGGCAATTTCTTAGCTTTGTGTTTTGATGACTCAGTTTTGAAGAGTGCTGCTCAGATACATTGTAGACTGTCTCAGGTTTTACTCATCATTAATGGGGTCGTGTGTCTTGGGGAGGAAAGCCACAGCGGTAAGGTGCCATTTCCATCACATGTCAAGGGCACAGACTGTCAGCATGAGCTGTCACTGTGGGCATTAACCTTGATCACTTGGTTGAGAGAGTCTGAGGTTTATTCATTGTAACTACCCCTGTGTCACAGTGTATGATCAGAATTTGCTGCCCACTAATCACTCTTAAGTTATTTTCTACCTCGAGGATAGAATATTTACATACTATTTTGAAATTCTTCTCCATGGGAGATTTGTTCTTTTTCCTCCCATATTAATGAATTCAGTTGTTTATTTCACTATAGACTTGTGGACATTTATGTGAATAAAAATTTTTTTGTTATAATGTAAAAGAACTTCATTCCACAAACTGTTCCAATTCCAAACCTGGATCCTGTTTTCATATTCCCATTATTGTCATGGATTTTTTTTAAACACTTCTTTACATTCTGGCACTGTAAGGTACTCATTGTATGTATTTCCTGATCCCAGTTATAAATCATCATTCATTTTCCAAGGAATGCTGTTTCATTTCAATCAAGAGCGTTCAGTCTGTGTACCTTTAATAACCATATAGCGATAGTGCTTTCCTTACTTATTAGTGAAAGTAACTGTAGACAGCTTTGTGTTACTTTTTAGTGGGCTGTGGTGTGTCTCTATGTGTAGAATGAGAAGTGTGGCACAGTAGTTTGGAAAATCATTCATCCCAACAGGTGACTTGCATTTTGTTAGCCTCAAGGCTTTATGTGCTCTGTGCAGTTTTGTTGCTTGTTGTTTATCCCTGTCCTGAGCATTAGCATTTTGTAAGCTATGTTAGTAACTGTTTTTATATACAAGTGCATTCAAAGAGTAAATCTCGTTTTGTTAAGAATATTAAATAAAATTGCATATATATATATTTTTAACACTACAAATACTGTCCAAGGGCATCTACTAACTTAGCAGCTAAATGTGAAAACTTTTTCTATTAAAGATTTCATGTTCAAACAATATATTCACACATGCTTTCTTTTCGCATCAGTAAAACAGAATGGAAGATTTGGGGGTGGAACTAGTCTAAATATCTTGAACTTTCACTTACTCAAGGGAAATTCTGTTTGTATTTTTTATCTTTTTAATCGTGGAAACATGTCTTTTACAGAGATAAACTGGTAGATGTATTTTGGAAAAATTGAGCACAAATCCGGGCTTTGTAATTCTCCTTCTCTCAGTGGTAAAATTATAGTGTTTTTTCTTTGCTTCATTGGGTCTTCACATGGCAGTGTTGCTTTTTGGTTTTTTTAGTTTTAGTTTTAAAGCTTAAAATGAATACTTTTTAATAAGGTAAATATTTTAAAATATATTCATTATTTTTAAAATTAGTTTAGAATGTACTTTCGGCATTTTCCATCAACTAGAATTAATTTATGAGCCTAAGGGATTTGTGTCTGGTTGAGTTGCTCCCTGGAGAACGTATCTCTTGAAATATGGGACTTTAAAGTTCACATGTAAAGCTCTGCTTTCTTGTCAGCTGTAGCTTGCTCTTGATTAAGATGTGTTCCTCAAATAATGGTGGCTGCAAGATGTTTGTCTACATTGGAAATTAAATATTAAAATGGTATTATATTTTATAATCTTTTAGATATGTACATACATACAGAAGGTAAGTATTTTGGATTTCTTAACTGTCTTTTCTTGAAAAATATATAGGCTTAAATGAGACAAATTATGGTTATCTTCTCAAAAATTTGTATTCTGGAGTCCTAGCCCAGGTCTGGTGAGTGTGTGGAGAGCTTCCTGCTACCCTGCGCCGGCGGGACCAGTCCCAGCCCAGGCGCAGCGTGGGCCGGACCCTCTCCCACCC